GTTACGTACGGTAAAATTTCAGATCCCTGATTGATTATCTTTGGTAATGATCCACTCCGGTTACATTGCTGTTGTTGTAATACAATCAAGTTAATTGAATTTATTGCTGAGATCAAATAATTTAATATCAAAGTCTTCAAATTTTCTTCTTAATGCCCGCTTGAAACTATTTTTTTAAACGTGTTGAAAACCATTTTTACAACCATTATTACTCCAGAAACCATATGAACAAGCTAAATTTTTTTGGGAACGTCAATTTTGAGACACCAAAAAGATGCAAAAAGTTTGCCTCTCTTGCCCCGAACTCCCCCTAAAATCCTAAGGATCTGTACGTCGTAGAAAAAAAATTTTAAAACCCGAAATATAGTTGACAACATTTGGAGCAAAAATGTTAGTTGGCACTTTTTGTGTATAATGAACCGTTCTCTCAGAAACAACGATTGAAGTGATCGGCGTTTTTGAATGTCATTTATGAGCAGAAAATAATTTTTTTAAATAAAATTTATCTCTTATTTATCAACTCGATGGTCATTTCGTTCCGCGATTTTTGCTATTTTTTACGTTTCTCCTTAAGATTAATATAAATTATTAAATATGGACTATGTTTCAATATAAAAAAGACAAAATGTATGTAAATACACAAAGAAATTTTCTCCCATATATTAATAACGAAATCATTTAAAAAGAAGATACATATACTTGTACACCTTTAAATATCTTAAATGCAGTCATGACCTTAAAAAATGAAAAGTTTTGCTACTTCAAAGCTATGTTTTTGGTGATTAATTGCTGAAATTAAATAGCAAATCGCTACAAAACAAATGTTTGCACCAGAAGGACGAGTGAGAATATTATGTTACTAAAAAAATAGATTTTAACATTTCAAGTTTTAAATAATTTAATATATAAATTGGTATTTCACAAAAATACTTTTTCTGTATTTTTTATGAATTTTTTAGTTGTAAAGATACAAAATAATTGTACCATTAATGAATTAGTTTTAAAAACTAGTTTACTAAATTAAAATCAACTCAATATCTGACTATTTTTGCAAGCCATACAAAATTATAAAGTTATTACTTCAGAAAACTACAATTATTTTTATTCCAAATGCAGGGTTTAATTCCAACTCGTTTGTTATTATTAGATTTTATCAATGTAATGCAAGGCTAACAAGGGTGTGGCAAACCAATAAGTATTTGTCTACATTCTAATATAGGCGCCTAAAGTAGAAAGTAAACTTAATACAAATTTATTACATTGAATACATGACTGGTTTTAATACCAAAAAAATTTCAGTTCAGTATAGATTAATTTTACAGAAATTGAAAAAGAACTTGTTACATTTATATTTTAAAATTTTATCAAAATAATCAACATGTGATCTATTCATCCTATTCCTTTAAAATAAAGACACCAAATTTATCATTATCTTCTTCTTCTTCCTTCTTGTATGTAGGCTTTAAAGCTTGTTTCTTCGTCAATATTAGCCTTCTAAATTGTTTAAATTATAGCACAATCTTTTTCTTGGTCTGCCAATACTTCTTCGTCCATTTGGTGACCAATCTCGTGCTAATCGTACTATCCTATCCTCTGCTATTTTACTAATGTGTTTGTTCCACTCCTGTTTCCGTTTTGTTACCCATCTATTTATGTCTTCTATATTGCATGCTATTCTTATGTTTTCGCTTCTCTCCCTATCCAACAGATTTTTCTCTAATATTCGTCGGAGTATTTTTATCTCTGTTGTTTCTAGTAGTCGTCTCGTTTTAGATGTGTCAGGTCTTGTCTCCGTCGTGTATGTTAATATAGGTCTAATTGTTGCTTTATAGCTTAGTTTTGTGTCTTGTCTTAGGTGTTTGTTTCTCCAGATTGTGGCATTAAGAGAGATCTCGCTGCTTTACTTGCTTTTAAGCTTTGTTGTCGTACTTCTTCTTCAACATCTCCGTAACTAGTTATATCTATTCCCAGATATCTAAACCTTTATTCCTGCTTTATTATTTATCAATTTCTATTTAACATCGTAGTGGGTATTTAGATGTTGTCATAGATTTGGTTTTTTCTCCTGATATTATCATATTGTATTTCTTGGCTGTTGTATTGAAGATGTGTGTTTATTCTTTGGAGCTCGTCTTCTGTCTCGGCGATTAATGCGACGTCGTCTGCATAACATTCTGTAGCCATGACCTCTACGTAATGCTTGTATTATTTCGTCTACTATATTAAAGGGAAGTGGGCTTAACGAGTCACCCTGTCTGACTCCGCTTTGTACTGGTATACTCTATATTAGTTTTCCATTTATCTTTGCATGTATTCGATTATGGAAGTAGATGCTTTCGATGGTCTGTATAATATTGATTGGTATGTTTCTTTTATACCGTAGGTGTAAGATGTCTTCAACATGGATGCAATCGAAAGCCTTTGTCAGATCTATAAACATAGATATGCTAGTTTATTGTACTCGATGGCCCTTTTTGTGATTTATCTTAGTACAAATACGGCATCTAGATGAACTAGTAACTACAAGTAGAATGTGAAAACAACAAAAGGGAAATGCAGTTATAGTCCTATGTACATAAGTGAGATGCAGTTATAGTCCTGGGTTAACGTTAAGTTGGGGAAAAAATCAATATATGCAAAATCATTTGGTAAGCATATGTAAGGAAGTGATATAATTCAGTATACCAAGATGGTTATATTAAAAAACTTACACTTCTTTCCTGATTAAATTTAAAAACGCCAAAAAAAAACTACATTTAGGAGCGTTATCTTCTCTGAATTTGCATTTTTACGAAAATAATTATATAGAGCACTAATTTGAAGTTATTTCAAGCGCTCAATTAACAGAGTGCTCAAAAATTTTCGATATCTCGGATTGTAATCAACTGATTTTGATGTTTTATTTTTAATTGCGGTCTTGTTATTAAAAAAATATAAATATGTCCATAACAATATCAAATGTTTATAACAATTAGTATTAATGATCTAATAATTTTAATGGGACTATAAAAATCATGTTTTTTGTTACAATTTATTTTTATAAACAAAGAATCCACAATTTAATGTAATTTTTACTGGGAATTGAGACCATATCCCTTCATTTGAGCCCAGAATAGTTCTATGGGGTTAAGTCACACTGATAAGGTCATAATGACAATGCATTAACTCCATGGTATTTTGCTATTTCATCTAAATTTTGGTGAATATTGTTTGCATAGATACAATAACTCTTTTTTGAGCAAACCTTTTCTGGAAGTACTATTTCTTTGGTTATTAGCTAATAAAAGAGTTCTTGCTTTCTCCATTTAGTGTTAGATAAAGGTTCCTTTAATCTTGAATGGTAACTGGCATTGTGCATGACTATTACAGAATTGGTAGGTAATAAATCTAGCATTTGACTGAAATATGCCTCAAAAAATCCTGTAGTCATTTCTTCACTGTAGTTGTTCGTAGAATTTGAAATAAAATCTAGCAAGCCTCCATCCACAAATCCTTTATCTCCTCCAATTACTTAACATTTTGCCTGAAGTCTCAGTCTATGTGACTGAGAAAAAAGTTGCTTTGCACACCAGCGAGGTATATTTGACCGAGAATTTTCATGTAACTGTGGCGCCGTCTCAGTGACTATGGCGTGAACGGAAAGTATTACAAAATCATCTACGGCAGGGAATGTGTTAAACAGTGACTTTTACCATTTGGAAATTTTAAGCCCATAGAAAAACCTTCTATAAATGCCTGACGAGCATATATACCCAGTTTATCTGGTCAAACTTTTTTTATGAAATGCCTTTCTAAATAAAAAATATTTTTGCTTTCTCTCCTCAATTTTAGAATTTTCCTTAAATATTGCCACTTTCAACAAATAATTTTTTCTAAGTCTATTAGCGCAGATTTTCTATTGTTATTCTCATAAACTAATCCTAATCCATGTAAAGTTTTTCACAATAATTTATCTCTTTTAATGTCAGGCAAATATTCATCTTCATTAATGTCTACTAAAAGATTATCCAAAGTAGGAATCTTTTCTGTAAAATGTTCTTCTAATCAATTGTTTCACAGTATCATCTATATAAATGGGTTTTCTCCCTGTTGATGTTTTAGGTGTTTCTGTAATACTTCCACACTTTGATTGCTTTAAAAGTCTATAAATAGTTGCTTCTCCAACTCCTGTCACACCTGGACACTTACAAACTATACTTCAAACAGTACTTGTAAAATGTTCATATACATTTAACACTAAAGTTTTCATTGGCACAGTTAATTTCACAGGAGTAATATTAGATGTTTGTGACATTTTTACTACACAAGTTTACTTATTATTATCGGTTTTTATTATAGAAGTAACAATTCTATGTGTTATAATCACAGGACTTTACATACACAACGTGTTAACCTTAACTAAAATGATTCACAGAATCTACAAAACATGTTCTGACACTTGGAAATTTAAATCATTTCTAAGAAAGTTGAAGGCTTATAAATTGACCCTCTCCTTTTTGGAAATTGTAAATATTATGTACCTGTAGAGATTATGTACTTATACCATTTGTTGATTAAAATGATTTAAGAAGAATGAAAAGATGAATTTAAAAGAAGAATTGAAAAAATTTTGGGTAAAACCTAAAAATTTTCAGAACAATGATGAATTTTTATTTTAGAAAATTTCGGTCAGTGTTTTATGATGTTATATTGGGTTTTATCTCATGTGCAATAAAATTTGGGCTATCAATAATTTTCAAATGTACTATAATAATTTTAAAGATGTTGTATTATAATGAAGGACACTAATATAAACTTATATTTATTTATTTAGCTGTGACCTGTGACAAGCTTTATTTTTTTATATGAATAAAGGTATTATAGGGCACTACTTTCTGGTACTAAGAAGGAAAGCTAAAAAAGTCTGCATTGATTTTATTTAAGTATTATGGGAAAATTCCTGGCAATGAAAAAGTTAGATAACTCTATAAAATTGCAGGCAATTATAAGTAATGACTTACATTTTTTCCAGTTCCATACTGAAGATTGTACTGTATCATTGGCAGATCATCAAGTAGTCGAAGGGTAGCTCTAGCTCCAGACATTTGGGAACTAAAGATAAAAAATTTCTTGGCCAAAACCTCATTTTTCTGAACTCCACCAATTAGTTTTGTCACATAGCTCAATGTCCTTAAAATCTACAATTTCAGTAGTAATAAAAGCTACTATATTCACCAAATATTCACTTTACCTTATCTCTGCCCTTATATGTTTCAAGAAGTTCACATATCTCATTCAATACGTTGGTCCACATGATTTACAGTTGAAACTTATCATGATTATGCAGCTAGCTTAGTGAAAGGTTTGTTCATGTAAATAATTTATAAAGTATTTAAATGAAAATAAAATATAACCTTTACCCTAACCAGAAATGTTACTGTTACTATAGATGTTTACTTACAGTCATATCATTTGTTATGTTGCCTGACGTTGCTGTGTACATATTATGTTAGAGATATATTAGTCTGTCCTGTGGTACAGATCAACAGATCATCTGTCGATTGTCAACTTCTTGTCCTCTGCCCTCCTCTCTTCTCTTCTCTGTCACTAAAAAGTGTGGTTACGTATAGAACCAAAAAATATTAAAAATATCCAAAATAAAATGTAATTTAACATTCATATAAACAAATATTCTCTCTGGACAAAATGTTTAAGTTAACGCACCTAATTCAAAAGAGTTGTAGCAGAAGTAATGGACTGTTGCCATTTATAAGATTTAATTTTGCCTCCTCCTCATCGCCTCAATTAAAGAAAACGAATTCAGAAAGTGAAGATGTTACTGAAAAGACAGAAAATCGTAAAAGGCTCGTTAGGGTACCTCAGCCGCATATGTCAATGGTTGCAGCAGCATTTGCATCATTAAATTCTGAGGAAGTTAGTTCATCAATTAAAACACCAAAAACAGATGGTAAACTCTCAAAAGCTACTACTATTGAAGAATTACTGTCTGTGTCAGAAGGTACAGGAGTATCTAGACGGCATGCTCTTAAAGTTAGTAGACAATTTAGCGATTTATATGTTCAATTTTGACTTTTCCACTAATCTTCACCAGTACATTTGATCACTTCACTTATTATATTTTATGTTATAGATTATATTATACTGCTATGTATGATGACAATATATAATTATGATATTTTTCTATTACCTACAGGTTGTGATATGTTTTCATTTTTATAAACCTTCAAGTTCTATTTTTATTTAAATGCCACCATTGGTACTACAAAAGCAGATTTTACATTTATGTTATCTCTATTTATAGCAGAATCAAATCTGTTTTATTATTTGTCACATTTAGTATGGTCATTAGTTCTGAGCTTATTCTTGTTTTAATTAGTGAAAGGTTATATTTATTTGCATTTCTTTTCACTACTGCATATTCTCCATACCATTTTTCCACAATTGCATAATTACAAATCATTTTATTAGTTTGTAATGCAATTAAACATTACTTAATTGTTGTAGGTTGTTTCAATACTATCTGAATGGTCATCTACAGGTAAAGTAAATATATCAGAGTTTGAAAATGACCCAAGGTTCATTAAATTATGCCACATTCTAACAAAATCAAATGCAGCGCTAAAGAATATAAAGACAAATTCACGCAGTGAAGATTTGTCTACAGTTCTAAGTGTCACAGCTGATGATGAAGCTGCTAAAATGGTTGGAAATATTACCCTTCCTCAGATGGTGAAAGTAAGTATAAAAACTATTTTGTTTTACATTGATAAAATTTTGTACTATCAGGTTAAATCCTTAAATTTTTTATTTTAACTTCTAATAGTTAAAATTTAAGATTTTACTATTGGTGTCATCCAGACAGACTGTATGACATAGTCATTAGATCTTACCAAACCTATACAATATTAAAAACAGCTAAATATCCATTCAGACTTGACAATGCCTCTTAATTCAATGTTTAGTTGTACAAAATGGTAAAGAAGATTGTGACAAAATGTTATCAGACTAGTTTTTTCTTAGATGGACAACATTTGAAAGCTAAAAATTTTTAGAAAGTGAATGTATTGGCAGGGATAATCAATATTAGAATCATTGCCCATTTTTTCTTAGGAGAAAATCTAGCAGTAGAACTTTATTTAGCTTTTTTTGGAAATTACTTTCACCAGTCATTTGTAAGCCAATAATCCAAATTTATCTAATGACAATATATGGTGTTAACAAGATGGGGCCCTTTCACATTACACACATGACATATTTTTAAATAATTGCTATCCCAGAAGGTGGATCGTAAGATGAGCTTATATAGAATGGCCAGCAAAGTCTAGAGATCTATCACTCAAGATTTTTTCTTGTAGAAAAATATTTTCAGTACAAAAAACTTGTAGATTAGTCATGTGTAACACTGTGTGGTATAGCACTTTTGTGCTGATACTTTACGGTGCGTCATGTGTATTGACACTGCGAAAATAAAGTGACATAACACGGTAACAGTGTTGTAACACCCCAAGTGTTTCTGGTCTGAGCAATGCAATTCACCGCAATAGTGCGATTTGATACAAGATACAACGAAAAGAGACAAGACGAAAGATGTGCCTTAAAATATTCGAATCTCACCGAAACGACAGTGTCTCTCAACACTTTCAACTGCGTTGACTATTTTGTATTTTACCTGGTTGCCACGTTTTATATATTTTTACAGTGTCTACAGATAATTTTAAATCTTAAAAAATAAATTTGAATATATGTCTGTGTATGCAGATAAAATAACTAATAAAGAAAAAAACTGTATTATAAAAAAAACAAATAAATAAAATTTCAAATCTAGGTCCAAACAACAAAACAAAAAACAAAAAAATTGAAATTAAAATTGTTATTGTTTAAATTATGTTTAAATATTGTTTAAATTTATTATAGTTTAAATAATTATAGTTAACTTAAAAATCAGTGGTATGAAACGCTAAAGAAAGAATAAAGATAGCTACATAAAAAAATCTAAATCTAGGTTAACAACAAAGCAGAAATTTTAAAGTAAAAAAATATACACCTACTTATTCGTTATTGTTTAAGTTATAATTAAAAAAAACACTTGAGAGATTTTATCAGTCTTTAATCTCTCTCGCTTTTCGTTGATTATCTGACTGGCTTTAGCAAATATCCTTTTACACGGGACATATGTAGCCATAATACAAAGCCTAGTTTTCATAATTTAGTATAAATTTCGGTAAATTCCTTTGGTGCCACCACAATAGAGGAGCTATTTTTTCTCGGTAAAATGGGCTCTTCTTAATATTTGTATACCTCAACAATGGCTGACGTTGTTGGGCTGCTTGGTTGTTGGTGATGTTGAACTTCCTTGTCAAAATCTTTCCATTAATTTTGAAGTAGATTTTCCTTATACGGTATATTTTGAATTGGTTGTTCAATATTTTCCTCTTCGTTTTCTTTTTGTGTGGGTAATTTTGTGTTGGCTACCTTGCTGTACAAACTCTCTACTGCTTTGAGATATTGTCTTTCGTCTATGAAAGCAAATTTTTTAGATCTGGGTTCCAAGATTGTTGCTTGAGCTATTAAAATATGTTTCTCCATATCAGAAAATCTTTGTTTTAGTTCAAATTGCAGCTTTTTTTTACCATATTTTGAACCTGAGGCATCATTGTATTTATGTCAAATGAATTCATTTGTTTCCTAACTTGTTTGTAATAAAATATTATTGACGAAGTACTTACTTTTTTCTCGGAACTTATGGCAGTTGTAACCAAATTAAAAATTTGAAGAACTTTAATGGACTGTTCAGCAATAGTCCAGTCTTCGTTTTGTAGAGGCGCAACAGATTCTGTGGCTGAAATATTTAAAACTGCCAATGTTTATATGATTGCATTTTTCATCTGTAAAATTCTCTTAATCATATCAAATATGGAATTCCATCGCGTAACTACATAATTTTTTAATTTTAGTGGTGGTATATCCATTCGCTCTGCTGTCGCTTTCAATTGAGCTAATGCATCGCTACTTCGTCGGAAATAGCTTACAATATTTTTTATCGAATCTCTTCTTTCTCTCTCTTTCTTTCCCACCTTATGTGATTCTTTGATCATCAGTTTTCTCGAAGCTTATCTATATACAATCGCTCTTATCACTTTGATTTATATCCCACGAAAATATCGCATATTTTTCTCCGTAATTATTTTCACACTTCTAGCTTTTTCTGCGAATCTCCGACTGCTGTCAAAAAACTGACAACGTCGTAATATATCTAACTAGTTCATCAATCAAACTACAACAAACACATTTTGAGTTTTTAACCTGTCTCATCTATTATCGTTCTGTGTCCTTTGTTCTCAAAAAGGTTTTATTTGTGAAAAGATCAACTCTCGGTCAGTCTCGCACAGCTATTAAGTAAGTGCAAAACAGATGTTACAGCTTACGGAAGGTTTCAAACGTTCACATAGTGTCAATGGCTTACTGTGTTATATGACACAGTAGTCTTGACACACTGAGTTGATACAATAAGCTACGTCAGTGTTGCTGTATCAACACCCAAAAATTTAGTGTGTTACCCATCGTTATTGTAGATGGTTAGGGAGCTGCTAGATGTACATTACATAAAGTTATTTCAATTTGATTTATTTATCTTCAGGTAATGTCAACATTGTCACTAAAGAAAAGAAGGTCTACATTGCTGTTACGATCTTTATCATATAATATAACTAGAAGTACTGATCAATTGAATTTGAAACAATGTAGTGATTTATTATTTTCAATGGCTACTCTAAATTTCCTTGATGATAATTTGTTGTCGAGAGTAGCAGGTGATATTACAGTTGAACTAGAGAAACATATTAAGAAGAGTTCAGTAGTAGGTTCTATTTTGACAAGTATAGGCCTTCTTAAGTATAAAAATCCAGGTAAGTTAAAAGTTTCTTTCCTGTAATACTTATTTCTTCTGCATCTATAATATGTATCTATAACATAGATATTTCAGTATTTTTTGTATTAGTTATTAAAAAAAGAATAGATATGTAACACTGGAATTTGTATGACAAAGAAAATTTTTCTTTTTCTTATTCCATCTATTTTCATAGGCACACATATGACTGTAACATCTTATTTTAGCCTCCATTGTAATCATATTAACTTTTTTTTTATAGTAGGATTAGTATGATTTCCTTGAGTTTTTTGGTATTTTACTTTATAATTTTGTTAATAAGTGTTGTTAGTTGATCCATCATTGCTGTACTAATATAACTGTTTCATTTGTTTTTCTTCAGAGATGATATAATACACAAGAGTTTTCTTTTTTAGAACAGAAAACTGTTTCGTTTTAAAAATACACTGGGTGCTATTTCATTATTTTATCATCAACCATATAATACCCCAAATACTTATTTTCTATAATGCAATATTTATTTTCTCTTATATATGCTATAATTACATGCAAAAAGTATTTTTTTTTTATTTTATAGCATTGTTGGATATTCTTAGTGAATGGATACTTGGTAATCAATCAATTTGTAGACCTCAAGATGTCTTTAGTTTACTAATGACGTTAGCTGTTGTGAACTACAAACCAAATAATTCAGAAAATTTATTTAAGGTATGAGTTTTATATTTATTTCCTATGTTTTATAAAAAATTAGAACTTATACTAACAGTAATATTTACTCTCGTATATCATAGAAGTCAGATCTTCTTCTTCTTCTCGTGCCACTCCTAGCGGAGATTGGAAATCATCATGGCCACTGCGACTTTGTTAGCAGCGCGCCTGAAAAGTTCAATCGAACTACATCCGAACCATTCACGTAGATTACGAAGCCACGATATTTTTCTTCTTCCCACACTTCTTTTGCCCTTAATTTTGCCCTGCATGATGTTTCTTAAAAGTTCGCACTTCTCACCTCTCACAATGTGCCCCAAGTATTCCATCTTTCTAGTTTTTATCTCATTTAGAATTTCGCATCTTTTGTCTAAAGTTTGGTGTTAGTGACGCGGTCCATCCATGATATTCTGAGAATGCGCCTATAGCACCACATCTCGAAAGCTTCGATGTTTTTTATAGTCAACTGTTTTAGTGTCCAAGCCTCAACTCCATATAACAGGGTAGAAAAAACATAACACCGCAGCATTCGTATTCGTAACTTTATATTGATATCACGATTGCAAAAGAGTTTGCGCATTCTATTAAAGACTGATCTAGCGATTTCTATTCTACATCTAATCTCTTTTGTTTGATCAGTATCGTCTGTGATCCAAGCACCTAGATATTTATAACAGGGCACACGCTCAATTGTTGTATTGTCTATTACAAGATTAGCTCTGATGTTCTTTGATTTCGTGATTACCATAAATTTAGTTTTTTTCAAATTAATTTTCAAGCCGTAACTGTTACAGTATATATTGAGACTTTGAACGAGATGTTGTAGTTCTACTAGCGTTCCCGTTAGGAGAACTGTATCGTCAGCATACCTTATATTGTTGATCGTCTCACCATTTATTATCAGACCAAGATCTTCTTCCTCGAGTGCTTGTTCACAGATAGCTTCACTATACAGATTAAATAAAAGTGGCGACAAGACACATCCCTGCCGGACTCCTCGACGGATTTGAATTTCTTCTGTTAGTCTGCCCTCAACCTTGACATTTGCTGTTTGATTCCAATATAGATTGCATATAATTCGAATATCTCGGCTGTCTATATTTTTCTTTATTAGAACTTGTCTTAGTGGTTCATGTTGTACTTTGTCAAAGGCCTTTTCGAAATCAATAAAGCAGGCGTAAATTTCTTGGTTCATGTCTAAGCATCTCTGTTTTAGAGCATGACTCATCAAAGAAGTCAGATATAAAGTTATTTTTGAATAGGAACAGGATTCTTTTTTTAGCTTATAAATAGAACTTATAACCATAGACATTATTTCGTCGATCTGGCACATTTTTAGCAGTATTTGGGTATTTGAACATTATGAAAATTTGTGTTAAGGGTTGGCAAATGGCGTTGGGCAAATAGTCAAAGTAATGCAACGCAATTTAAATATATAATTTTCATACTATTTAAATTATATAAAGTCTTAACTAAATTCCAGGTTCTGTTACCACAATTGACATTGTCTGAAGCAGGCAAACCACTTGTTTGGTTAGATATTGTGTGGTCGTTAACTCTACTAAATAAAGCCAACAGCAGTCACGTTTCCAGTGTTTTAGATAAGTCATTTTTAGATCAGTTAGAAGGTAAGTTCACTCGTTAAAATAATAATCAATTAAAAATTTGTTAGCTTTTGTTGAATTCACATTTTAAAATAAGTTACAAATATACAGGGTTTTCCACAACAGTGTACCTCATCAAAGATGTTTTTTTTTTTAATAAAACACTGTGTATTTTATTATATGCTTCCTCATAGATTATGAGGAAGCGAATACCTAAATGACCAATGAGAAGGTCACGTGGTCAATAAACCCGGCAAATTAGAAGGAGATGCAGGGACTGCTTTTTTGTCAGTTTTCTCTGTTGCACTGGGGGAACACGATTGTATGGCAGCAGTTAATTTATTTGTATTAAATGTCTATGAATCTAACGTAACTAAACTAAAAATTTCAATACCATAAGGCATTTTTAACATAGTTTATTTTGTAGAGCCATTGAGCTTTTCCACAAAATTGAAATTATTAAATATCGATGGTGCTGCACAGTATTTGTTAAATAATTATGATGGGCCAAGATTATCGTCAGATTCAGAAGTAAAGAAACTGGAGGTGCCACAGGCAAAGGACAAAACAGAGATGGTGACATCCATTCTGGATACTTTAAAAAATTTGATTCAGTCAGATCAACTTATCCAAACAAGGGTAAATACAGAATATGGATTCTGCATTGGTAAGTATTCTGAAATTATATTTATCTAATCAGTCATCACACCTCTATCTCTAATTAAATACCTACTATTTATTATGTTTCTTTTTGTTTAGCATACTTTGAACCCATTTTGCCTACTTCTGATTTGATATTTTTTTCTTCTTCTTTTTGTGGCTTATTTCATTACCCTGTCTATTTTTCAATGTGCATTACTATCGATTTTTCTAAAGGTTTTCATCTCTGCTGTTTCTAGCATTATTTTTATTCTCTCAGTGTCAGGTCGTGTTTCTGCCGCGTATGTCATTATTAGATTTCGAAAAAAAAAAAAGAATCGCTTGATAGGGTACCACATAGAGTGTGACAAATTTAAGTTTGGGAATGTGATTTAGTGTTTAGCACAGGTAAACTCTCTTTTTCATACAATAAGTGGATAACTTCCTTTAATTTTACCCTGTCAAATGATAGATAGATATGCTGGTTTGTTGTATTCTAATCTCCATTGTCTATTTTAAAATTCTCGTTATGTTTTTACTTAATTCCAGGTATTACTTGATTCGATCTTTAAAATCTCCCAACATTATTATCTTCCCTCTAACTTAATCTACTACTTGTTGTACTTTGCCATAATATGTTGAGTGTGAATGTATTTGAGTTTGATGTTTTTGTTCCCATTCAATATGTGAAAACAGGAATCAGGCAAATAACTTTATCTTCAGAAATTGGTCATAATACATCTCTTAGTGTTTCATATGTGATTGAAACCAGATTTATTCTAATAGTAGCGGAAATCCGAAGATTTTTTACTTTACAAAACTAAAATTCATATATTTTTCTACTACGCTTTCTACAATATACAAAGCAGACAGATTGATGAATTAACCAACAAGGGTTAACAAGGATCTACAATTTGCATTCCACACCTGCCGATCCACCACAACAAATATCCTTCCCAAATTACGTTTGGGATTTAATTTTAATGCAGATCCCCTGCATTAAAATCCGCTTATACATATTTCGACCTTATCAGGTTTCCCCAGAGCAACTTATTCAGAAACTCTAGATTGAGTCTAAATCGCTCTTGTCTTTCTGCCAGATTTATTCTTTTTATTATTCTTGTTATCACAAAATATTGGTTTTCTTATTCCTTAATTTTTATATTTAGCGCAAGTACTAAATTACCATTACTTTGTTATGTTCTTAAATGATTATTGGTTAATTACCATAAGCATGTTTTTCAGTGTCTTTTACTCACGTGGATCACAGCAAGGTCATACAGTAGACCTCCACTATTATGTAATTTGTAATTAAGTAATAAAAACACATTTATGAACTATTAGGGCATTTATTATCTATCATTTCTAAAAAGTGGGTCGTTAATTATATATTATAGTGTTTTCGAACTCTGCTTATATTTGGTAGATCTATAGTAACAATTGAAAAATTCTGAGATTAATGTTTCAATAACTGAGTTTAAATTCTCTATTTTGATTTTTATCTATATTTCAGATGCAGAATGTGTATTAGACAAGAAATGCAGTCCTTTGCCCTTAGAACAAGCTAAAACAAATAAAGATGCTACGAGGTAAGTTTCTTATTAATTACAGAATGTAGGGCTCAACAGTCATCATATATATATATATATATATATATATATATATATATTATATATATATATATATATATATATATAATATATATATATATATATATATATATATATGGCCCTATTATTCATAGCGATAGCATAGCTTTGTCTGAAGTGTAAACTTTACATTCTTCGAATAGCTCAAAAGGACAGAAACTGATTTTATTAAATCGTGTTTCGTTCATCGTCATCAAAATAGGTTGCACCTCTTGTAACTTCTACGACTTGAAGCAGGGAATATGCGCAAATAACGTTATAAGATCCTAATGATACCGATTCATATACGGAATATTCCTAATGATACATCTGTATGCCGAAGGTAAAGGGCACTATGTCACAAATTTGTAATTTTACAGGAGAAGCGTATTAAGTTTTTTTTGTATTTCTTTATTCACAGAATGTATGTTAATATACATGTCACAAAACCTTCTCTAATTTATTCTTCAGATTATTAACTTTCAAAATTGTATTATTTAAAACACATATTGTGATACCAAACTTGATTTATTTTTAATAAACATAATCAAAACACAATGTAGTGGACATAGTGCTGTTTACCTCTTCAAGATCTTTGGGTCATGGTACTAGATGTTTACTAAAAATGCATTATACATTATTAAAGTTTAATTTTTTTTCTCCTTCATGACAAACATTACAGGGTAAAGTGTAAAACTTAATGTTTGTTTACATTTAACGACAGGGATACCTAGTGTTAGAATACTAAAAGAAACATAATGTATATCCCTCATGCATCAAAAACTTGATCTGCAAAAACTGCACTCGAGCGTAGTGACAGTGACTGTCTGCTGATTAAGAATGGTGTAGATGTGTAAATGTGCAATTTGTGTTTGGATATATATGTGTATATGCTTGTGTTCATGTGTGAGTTTGTTTCATATTCAATCAACAAATCTGTAGTTAATGACATAATATGTAAATGTAACCCCGATGCAATGTTTTCAGTTGAATCGTGGATTTTTATTTAGTTCTACCTTATTTACACCTGTTCCACAGTCCTATATACCCATAGAACGTTCGCTATTAGCCATTGGGATTCGCCGAGTTGGAGATGAGAATTTTTTCACGCAGTATGTCGTTAGGAAGATTATTGTTAAAAAATGATTTAGAATTGTCAAAATCGATTTTATTCGGCAACATATATGACGCGATTTATTTAGTAATTCAGCAATACAGACCATACATTGAGTTACCAAAAAACTATTAGATTTTTTTTTACTGCCTAGCCAAATGCGTATCTGTTGAAGAAAACTGAAATTTTAATGTGTTGTTTTAGTTTACTTGTATGGACATATTTCTGCAATTTGTTTTGTCATTGATCCAATTGATTTTAAATGTCCTGTCCATTTTTTTGTCATTTGGCAAAAATTATACATATTTCACTATTTTTGATAATAGATAAATAAACTGAAATTTTTGAAAATAATTTTATTCCTTAACACGTTGAGAGCGTTACATACACCCGGGTGCATGCAAAGCTAATTCTTTTTATGCATCACTGCTCAATATAAGTTTTTACCAATGTGCGGAATCAATAAAATTGTCAATTTTTAACCAATATTGGTCGTTTAAGTACCGATTTACTATATTAGATATGCTTGATAACGCTATGGTATTAAAACGATACATATACCCAAATACATGTATCGCACAGAAGTAAAATCGTTTTAGTTCACTGCGTTACCCACACCCGAGTATATGTAAAGTACACGTGCAAATTCTAACCTAAAATTTTTAATTGGTGTATAGTTACATCGTGTTTGTGTATTGTTGAGTAGAATAAGTGCTAATTTAAAGTGAATCGTTATTAAAATGAGTAATCGAACCAAAAGAATATTAAATTTAACGGTGCTTACCGAAAAACATAAAAAAGTTAAACAAACTTTTGAAGTACCGAATACTCAGCAAGGAAATTATTCTAAACCAGATACGTCAGCATCTTGCTACAAAAATGGTGATAAACAGAACACATAAATTTATCCAGAAGAAGGTACGAAAACGTCAATTGATGCAATAGCAGCAGAAGGGGAAAATGCAAATGTTTTAACAAATGCAGAAGTGTCAAACTCACCCATTTCAAGTACGTCTGTATTAGACCCTTTCGATAGCGATGATTCGATATTAGATAAGACATATGAAGTTTCGTCAGCCGGTTCAGATTCAGATAATGAATCTGAATACGATGATAGTTCATCTGACTCTCCTGAATATGATAATTACAATATAGCAGACGAAGAAATACAGGAAATAGTACCGCAACAGCAAGCAAGTTCTTGGGAAAATATTCGTGTAAAAACGAGCGATTTTGATCTCTTACAAGAATCAGATGTTATAAATATAGACAACCTACCGGCCACAATTAAACCCGTTGATATATTCAGACATTTTGTTACCGACGATCTCTTGGAACTAATTGTTAATGAAACCAATGCATTTGCAAATGATCATATTCAGAAGGGATTCAGAAGCAAATCTAGAATTAGATTGTGGACAGAGACAAATAGTTATGAGATGTTAAACTTTTTTGGCGTCATTCTAATCATGGGATTAAATTCAGTGCCTAGTATTTACCAATACTGGTCTAAAGATCCTGCTTATCGCAACGGTTTCATTGTTACGAAGATGAAAAGAGACAGATTCCTTTTATTGTTAAAATTCATTCATTTTAATAGGAATGAACTTGCCGATGTGAACAACAAGCTATACAAAATTGAACCAGTATTGAAAATATTTTTAAGAAATTTTCAACAAGTTTTTTACTCCAGGAAGAACCATTGTAATAGATGAATCCTTGGTACCATTTCGAGGAAGGGTACATTTTCGACAATACATAAAAAATAAAACGCACAGGTATGGAGTCAAATTATACAAATTGTGCTCAGGAAGTGGTTACACTTATAATGTAACAATTTATACAGGAAAGGGCTGAGAACAAATTGGTTGATATTGCTCACACTGAAACGGTGATTATGAAATTGATAGAACCTCTAGAGAAACACAAGGGTAGAATCTTATTCGCTGACAACTTTTATTCCAGTATTCCTGTTGCTGAAAATTTGTATGAATTGAAATTTCTGTATTGTGGTACACTAAGGAGCAATAGAAGAGGAGTTCCACAAATGTTCAAAAAAAACATGAAAAAGGGGGAAATTGAAGGAAAGCAGAAAGGCAAAGCCAAAATCATCAAATGGATGGATAAAAGACCAGTTTTAATGATTTCTACCATTCCAGAACACGATGCTGCACTGATAGACACTGGTAAGTTGTAATTACAATTTGTTGTCAGTAAATAAATATTCATTTATATCTATTTTAGGTAAAAAAAAATCGCAAAAATGAAAGTGTTATGAAGCCAGCATGTGTCCTCGACTACAATAAAGCCAAGAAGGGGGTGGATGTCAGCGATCAAATGAGTTCTTACCACTCTGTACTACGAAGAACCTTAAAATGGTACAGGTAATGTTAAACATGCACATTATATCACTATTAGTTGTGTGTTCAATTTGTTTTTTATTTTTCAGAAAAGTTGCATTTGAACTCCTTTTTGGTACCACACCGTTGTTAACTCTTGGATTGTATTTAATAATCTGTCAACTACAAAATTAAGTATTACTGATTTTAGAAGACAATTGGCAGAAGAATTAACCTCAGCAGCACCTTCCGCTTCAGCAGCATCATGTAATGAACGAATAATCGAGCAAGTCCCCAGAAAGAGAATCCATACTTCTGTAAAACCTGAAGGGCCTGGTAGAAAAAAGAAAAAAGTGTGCACCAGTTGCTACAAAACACTTCGGATTACCCTATCTAGTAGAGAAGCCGACCGAAAAGTTCGCAGAGTAACCTCATTCTGCCAAGATTGTCCAAATACCCCAGGATTTTGCTTACCGTGTTTTAATAATTTTCATTGTTAATTATTATTATTTTACTTATATTAATGTTAATATTATTTTATGTATTGGTACAGAAAATAAACGCTAATTTTATTAGAACATTGTATATCCTTTAGTTACATATACTCAGATATATGTACAAATCGAGTCTAGTATACTTTTACTACCTTCTTATTACAGAAAATCAACCGGAGTGCTCAATTATTTACGTCACTTCCTCCTAGATGGCAATACAGCTATTGATGCATACATGGTCTCGGGTGCTTGTATCGCACACAAAAGTAGATTATATACAAGTACCACAGTGCATGTAATGCATAAAAATTAAAAGGGCTAAATTTGCTAACGCTCTCAACGTGTTAATTACAAT